AGGACAAGAATGTGGTGGTGTTGATTGACAGTGGGGCTACACACAATTTCATTTTCACTCAGGTTGTCGACCAACTGGGAGTGAAATTGGTAGATACCGGTTGTTACGGGGTGATAATGGGCACGGGGAAGGTGGAAAAAGGCTAGGGGATTTGCAGAGGAGTGCTACTAACCATCCAGGGAATTCAGGTGAGGGAAGATTTTCTTCCACTAGAGCTTGGGAGTATAGATGTCATCCTGGGGATGAAATGGTTGCAGGCTTTTGGAGACACCAAAGTAAACTGGGGAGCACTCACGATGGAGTTGATTGTAGATGGAAGGGAAATGATGATTAAGGGAGATGCGGGGTTATCCAAATCTATGGTTTCTCTTAAAACTATGGTGAGGGATATACAGTTGGCAGGCGGAAGATACTTGGTGGAGCTGCACAGTTTGGAGGGAGCTAGGCTGGAAGAGGGAGGCGACATACCCCCCTCCATACAACCACTAATTCAGCAGTTCCAAGAGGTGTTTCAACCACCTCAGGAATTGCCACCACAGAGCGAGCAGGAGCACGCCATCATTCTGAGGGATGGGGTGTCACCCATCAGCGTACGGCCTTATCGCTACCCTCAATTTTAGAAAGATGAAATTGAAAAATTGATTAGAGAGATGCTGGAGGCAAACATCATCAGACCAAGCATCAGTCCTTTCTCTAGTCCAGTGCTATTGGTGAAGAAAAAAGACAACAGCTGGCGATTCTGTGTGGACTATAGGGCACTCAACAAGGAAAATGTACCTGATAAGTTTCATATCCCCGTTATTGATGAGCTGTTGGATGAATTGAGTGGAACGGTGATCTTCAACAAGATAGATTTGAAATCAGGATACCATCAGATCCGGATGGAGGATGTGCCTAAAACTGCGTTTCGAACTCATGAGGGACACTATGAGATCCTGGTGATGCCTTTTAGCCTCACCAATGCTCCAGCCACTTTCCAGGCACTTATGAATAAGATTTTCAAACCTTATTTACGATGCTTTGTATTGGTATTCTTCGACGACATTCTAGTATGCAGCAGGGTGGAAGAAGAACACATGAAACATCTAAAAAAGGTGTTAGAAGTACTGCAGAAGCACCAGTTGAGGGCCAACTTGAAGAAGTGCTGCTTTGCACAGGCCAGTGTAGAGTACTTGGGCTATGTTGTATTAAAAGAAGGAGTGACAGCAGATCAGTCTAAAATTGAGGCTATGTTAAAGTGGCCCGTACCTAAAAATCTGAGGGAGCTGGGGGAATTTCTAGGACTAACAGGGTACTATAGAAGGTTTGTCAAGGGATACAACACCATAGCATGACCACTCACTGAGCAATTGTAAAAGGACGAGTTCCTATGACGGGAGGAGGCCACATCAGCATTCGAGAGCTTGAAGAAGGGTATGACTACGGTGCCGGTCCTAGCCTTGCCATATTTCACTCAAATCTTCATAGTGGAGACAGATGCGTCCGGATATGGGCTGGGTACAATACTTATGCAGAGTCGTAGGCCCATTGCCTATTTCAGCTAGATGTTGACTGCTCAAGCCAGGCTAAAGCCAGCTTATGAGAGAGAGCTAATGGCCATCATTTTGGCTATCCAGAAGTGGCGGCCCTACCTACTTGGGAGGCATTTCATTGTCAGGACTGATCAGTGGAGCTTGAAATACCTGCTGGAACAACGGATGGTGACAGAGGAGCATCAGAGGTGACTATCCAAGTTGCTGGGGTACGATTTTGAGATTCAGTATAGACCAGAAGTGGAGAACAAGGCGGCAGATGCCTTGTCCAAATGTATGGGGGAGCTACAGACGGTGTCACTCTCTATTCCTTTGATGGTTAATTGGGAGACCATCAGAGAAGAAAGTGCTAGGGATGGGATTTGGGGAAGATCAGGGCAGACTTACTGAAAGAAGGAGATATCCACCCAGGGTACTCATTGGAGGGGAACATATTGCTATATCACGGGGGGTTTGTGATGCCTCGAACCTTAATCCACATCCCAAATTTACTCAAGGAGTTTCATGGAAGCGCTGTTGGGCGCCATTCAGGCGTGCAGAATATATATAGGAGGCTAGCTTTGGAACTGTATTAGAAGGGGATGCATAAAGATGTAGAGGAGATGGTAGCCAGATATGAGATATGTCAAAGGAACAAATATATAACTATGTCACCAGGAGGACTACTACAGCCATTGACGCTACTGGGATGAGTATGGGAGGAGATATCCATGGACTTCATTGATGTGTTGCCCCGTTCAGAAGGATTCATAGTGATTTTAGTAGTGGTGGACAGTTTGAGCAAGTATGCACATTTCATTCCCCTTCGGCACCCCTACACCACAGTGATAGTGGCTTCAGCTTTCATCAGAGAAGTGGTCATGCTACATGGAGTACCAGAGGCGATAGTATCAGATAGAGATAAGGTGTTCCTAAGCCATTTTTTTAGGGAGTTGTTCAGGTTACAGGGGACAATTTTGAAGAGGAGAACAACTTACCACCCACAGACGGATGGCCAAACGGAGGTAGTCAACATGGGCTTGGAGACTTACCTGAGATGCTTTGTGTCGGAAACATCTAAGCTATAGGCTAAGTGGCTATCATGGGCTGAGTACTTGTACAACACATCTTTTTATTCTGCTTCTCAGATGACCCCATTAAAGGTGTTGTATAGAAGGGATCCTCCCCACTTGGTCCACTTTGGGAGTAGCAGTACTCCTATTTCTTCAGTAGAGGAGTACTTGGAGGAGAGGGATAGAGTGCTAGAAAAGTTGAAGAGACATCTATTGAGGGCTCAACAGATTATGAAGAAATAGGCTGACAGGCATAGAAAGTACATCCAGTTTGAAGTGGGGGAGAGTGTATTCTTGAAGCTTCGACCATATAGACAGAAGACAGTCACCAACAGAAGGAATGAGAAGCTTGCTCCCAGGTATTTTGGGCCTTATGAAGTGCCGGAGAAGATCGGAGCAGTAGCATATCGACTAAAGCTACCATCAACGACGACTATACATCAAGTCTTTCATGTATCGCAGTTGAGAAAAGTCATTAGTGACTATACTGCCAATTCTAAGCTACCGGTGACACTTACTGAGGATTTCGAGGTGGTATTGGAACCCTTAGAGCTGATGTGGGTTATACAGAAAGAAGATGGAACTAAGGAAGTGTTGATCCAGTGGAAGAACCTTCCTAACTACGAGGCCACGTGAGAACCATACGAGAGGATGAAACATCAATTTTCCATCTTTCACCTTGAGGACAAGGTGGTTCTTTGGGAGCGGGGTAATGTTACGGAACCAACCAAACCGGCCCAGGAGGGGCCGGTCCAGTTCTACAAGAGGCGGGCTAAGCGGCCTCCTTGATGTGTTTTCGCCCAGCTTGTGGGCCCCCCTTGAGGCGGCAATAGGAGAGAGGGGAATGAATTTTGAAATTAGTTTATATTAGGGAAGTGGATTTAATTAATTAAAAGATTTGATATCTTTTGTATTAATTAAATAATATCTTATATTAGGAAGTTTTTAAGGAGGTGGATTTAATTAATTAAAATATTTGATATCTTTTGTATTAATTAAATAATTTCTTATATTAGGAAGTTTTTAAGGAGGTGGAGTTTTAAGGAGGTGGAGAGGGCTATTTAAAGGGGATGAAGGGGCTAAGGTAGGTATGCTTGATTATTGTTCTCTTAGAGTCTCTTGGGCTCTAGACTTGGTGTCTAGAGATTGAGAGAGAACGATCCTCCTCTCGAATAGATGATCAATTGTATCTTGTTTTATGTTTGTTTTGCTTTATCTTATATAATCAAATCTATTGTTTTGAGTTGATTTCATTAGTATTCTTGTGTTCTTTCTCGTTGTTTTACCAATTCATTGTTAGGGTTGCTTGCGAACTCAAGTATTTCCAATAGGATTACTTGCGAACCCAAGTATTTCCTATCAGTTACCAAGCATTGTTATAGATAGATTTTAGATTATATATGTTTTAGATGATACATAGAAAAATTATGTTGAGATTCAGTAGTCTTTTGCCTTATATTGCATTCAATAGTGGCTTTGTGTAGTATATTAACTGAATCAAGCCTTATAATAACAACTAAATTTAATATGATGCTTAGAAGTCTAGATAACGATAATCCATTATCCTAGGCATATTTTACACTTGAAATGAACTGGGAAGTAAAAATTAAGAATTAAGAATTTATTGCATTCTAGATGAACACAGATTTTTATATTTGTATCTAGTTTCTTTAATTGCACTTCTTAACGGATGTTGATGTCCATGAAATTGCTATCCTTGATGAAAATATGATATCATCTTGTGGATTGTCAAGCAATGATTCTTATTTATAGGTTGTTTGGTTGGTTGAAAAATAAATAGGGTAAAAAAAATGCAATATAGAAGTAATGCAGTGTATTTGAAATATTTTGAAATTATTTAGATGAGTGTAAAATAAATGTAGGGAATTGCTTTAGTTTTATTTAGCTTGAAATAAAATGAATATAGTGTAAAGTATAGGGTGGTCAGTTGTTGTAGCCAATGGTTGCGGCCAGCAGCGGTGGTGGCAGTCAACGGCGATGACAGTCCACAGTGGTGATGGTGGATGGCGGTGGCGGACGATGATGGCAGGTGACAGTGGTGGTGGTGGATGGCGGTGGCGGGCAATGAAGTTCTAGTGTATTTGGAAATCATCCAAATCGGAGGTATTCTAAATACACAAAAAAAATGAACTGGAGGGGGAATTCCAAAGACATCAAAATTTTACACTGCATTTGATTTACTTCGAACCAAACATCAATATTCTCCGAACCCCTGCATTTGAAATATTTTAATTCGGAATACTTTTACTTTAAACCAAGCTGCCCCTTAATTGTTTAGGAATTTTTCCAACTCATTCTTCTTCCTAAAAATCTTTGATCAGTTGCTTCAGTGTATATCTTTAGAAATTGTAAAATATGATCAACATCTGTAGCTTGCTGAAGCTTATATTGCTAGGTCCCTACATGTTGTCGCAGAAGCATTCTTGTTACCTGATAGATGAACTGCAAGCCAAATGTGAATCACCCTTCTACAAGTAGGAACAACTTATATACAATTCAGGATACTTTGGAGTTAAAACATTTTGAAATGTTACTTAAGTAGATCTATATTAATGGAATTGTGATTCAGACTCTATCTACTTAACTGTTAGATACTCATGCGTATGTTCCTTGGGCTTTCTTTATCTGATACCAACGAGCTTAAGTTTGATCGTTCTCAGCAACTGTTCAAGTTTTGCTGTAGATGTATGTGATGCTTGCTTAACTAAAGTCCAACTTTAAAAGAAAACTTTTAACTTTGTGTAAAAATATCCCTTAAACTGAAATTTTATTACAATTATATGAAAATCTTAATAAAAAATGCTGAAGATTAATGGGCATTTGACCTCAAAAATTCCTAAATGTTATTTACACGTAAACCTCAATATCCTCGCATGTTTTTCATGAAATTTCGTATTTAAATCCTTAAAATCTAGTCATTAGATGAGAAGAATATGATCCTTGTTTCTGATAGTAAAATATTTCCAAGGGTGCCCAAGCATGATTAGATGTTGCAGATCAGTATTTTCCTTCTAACATTTTGTTTTCTTGTAGCTGAGGTTTAGGGTGTTTAGGGTCGGCCACATATAGCTAGGAAAGGCTTATGATAATGATGAGCAAAACATGTTAATTCAAATACATACCAGAATACTCTGTTTTTATTAGTCGTAATTATGTCTCAAACATAGATATTGACTATTATTTTAGCAGAAATAAAGATTCTTTCAAATGACTAGCAAACAAATATTTTCACTAAGTCTCTTGGAGGTCCTCAAATAAACATCTGTAACTAGCTTCGGACAAATGACTTATTTGCTTGCAATTGAGTTGAAGTGCTGGATAGAATAGTTATTTTGAATATTTCTAACTGTCATTAGTTTGTTATTGAATTTCTTCCTTATTTGGAACAAAAGATAATAAAATATTTTTTTCTCTTTATTAAATGCATTTAACTGGCGGTATGTACCATGTTAATAAGTTTTTGTCTTGTCAACTAGTGTCTTAAACATGAATGAATTTCGATTCAATATGTCTAAAGGCATATGTGTATCTTCAAATCTATTTAAGGCTAGAAGTCGTCTGCTGGGATCAATCAAACCTCTTCTATATTGACTAAATAAGAAGGTAAAAAAGATTAGGTAGTCATTCTTTTAAAAACACAAGGTATCAAAACCTTAGCTAGAAAATCATATTTATTATGATCAAATTTATTCATGCATCAGGTAGTTCATTGCCTTTAATTGAATCTACTTTAATATTTGCTGAAGAATCATATGCTAAGTCTGGAATTAATGCTAAGAAGTCAATTGGGAGAGCTGGTGGTGGAATCAGGAAGATGTTATGAGTGTCTCCAGCCCATGCCCACTAAATTTTTTGAAAAGAAGTCATACGTTCTAGGGGATGGAAGTGTAAAACACCGTAACGAAACAAACAAGAAGTTAAAAGAAGCAAAAAGTAAAATACACGAACGAGGATTTAACGCGGAAAAATCCGAAATAGGAAAAAAAAAAAAACACAAAACAACACCACACCAAGAAATCCACCATGAAAATTGGGAAAAATAAGTAGATATCTCTCTTCTCTTTCACTCTTTCCTTCTCTCCTCTCTTGCATTGCTCTCACATTCAAAACAAAGAAAAAGACAATAACACCAGGGGGTGTCACCATTAAGAAAAATGAGAAAGAAAAAGTGTCAAGTCCCCCCACAGCATTGTGACGCTTAGACCCCTGATCCCGATTGTTTATCGTTGCTGCAGTGCTCTAACCTGCATCACTGCGGCACTCCATAGCGCTGTGGCGCTGAATCTAGAGTCATTTTTTCCAATAAACTTTGCAGCACTGTGACGCTCAGGAACACAATGCCGTGGCACTCGGGTACACAACACCATGTATTGTATGAAAAAAAAAAAAATCACCCAAGCCCAAGCAGGGGTAGACCCCCCTGCACACCCCCTAACGAGTACAAGAAATTGGCTTGAGGTATGAGGCAACAGTACAACTCGATTGATCAACACAATCAGATTCCACACAGAACTAACATATCTTGCTTTGTATAATACTTAAGATTTATTCCTAAAATTTCCTACAACTATGTATATTTTAGAAGCATTACATTTGGGACAAGTCCTTTTGTCGCCTCTTATTCAAAATTGTAATTCTACCATTGGAGGAAGCATATGGACAGAATAAACTTTGGACATTAATTTAAGCTGTCGTGTTGGTATACTTGTGTTTTGAATTGATTATATGGAATTTTGAAAACATCCTGTGAAGAATTTCCTATGGATTTTTCACTTGCTAATCTACGTTTTTTTTCCCCCTTAAGATTAAAGGTTTTGTAACAATTTTTGTAAATTATGTTTAAATTGAAGTTGTGCTGTCAGTATCTGAGATTGGGCATTATAGTTGCATGGTTGATCTCTTGGTCAAATTTGATAAATGGAGAAAACATGGTTAGTATAAAATTAGATTTACTAAAAAAATTCAATAAAAATAAAAAATATCTTTACTTTTAACATTCGCAACTCCAACATTTGTTATTTTGAATGATGGGACCAATTTGATTTTTATTTAAGGTGTTGGGGGGCTAAGATGAAATTTTTACATAAGCTAGGATCATTTTCGTTCTTCATAGAGATTTAGAGGACTATTTGATGTGCTTTGGTTTCAAAAACTGCCAACGAACCCCAATAAATTCAACAAAACAACATATTTTTTTATTGCTAAATCCTCTTTCAAAAGAAAGATCTTCTCTCCCAAACAATAGACGCCGTTAGGATCCCTTACAAAAAAAAACTACAACAATTTCAAATCAAATTCTGCATTAAAAAAAAAACCCTAAACTTGGACATAAATAAGCTCTCCTATTCTTCCCTCTAAATCAACCCCCTTCGACGCCATTTACGTCACTTTCCGTGAATTCTGCGCAAATCCTGCGATCCATGCTCATTCTGTAGACATTATTGCTCTTGTTATTAAGGTAGCAGCGAGCGAAGAGCTCGATTCCTACTTCCTCCAGCACAAAAACCTGAAATCCCCTCCGATCTTTACTCCATAGCTCGATCACAATCCCGAACCCTAAGCTCTGACACTTCCTCCTCATAGCCGCCCTTCTTCTTCTGAACGGCACAGATCCGACAAGGCCAATCTCAATGAGCCCGACCTTCTAGTTGTGTCGAAGCCTGTGACGATCCGGACTTTCCACACAGCTGCAAGCCTCAATCCGTTCGATCTACCGGTCCCCAGCCCCAGTTCCTCGTCACGATCGACTCTATTCATCATTCCTCAAGCCCTTACGATTCCTCCTCCTCAAGTCCTGTAGCCCCTTCTCCAACATCCTGCGTTTTTTTGTCGTCGTCGTTGTTCCGACTTTGCCATCGTCGCCTTCGCGCTAAAGCATAAATGTCGCTTGATGCAGGACTATATGCGAAATAGGAAACTTGCACAAAATATTTAAAGATCAATTTTAGATTTTTGTTATTAGCGATTAAAACAACAAAGTGAAACTAATAAATGGTCACTTCTGTTTAGGCTAGGCTACGCAAGAGACTAAACGAAATCAAAACACGTAGGGAAATTAAAGTATTGCATGAGTAGTTTCCAACTTAACCTTTGCTCAACAATGAGATCCAAAAGCAAAGAAGTAACAATCCTATGAATACTAGTGGATGGCGATTAGTAGACACAATCTCTTGCTTGAACAGTCTCTCAACGAAGTAAGTAGGATTTGAAAGTAAATGAGTCAAGGAAGAAAATCACCTTCTCGGAAAAACGTCGTGATTCACCACGTACCTTCCGCTAGTTTCTCTTCCCTCACGTTGAGAAGATCCATGCAATATTAGCCGTCGTACGTAAAACCGGAATCAAACTCCGGATTGATCATACATCTCAATTCCATGAAGGAGAAAACACCTTGAGAGGGGAGAAGAGAGAGAGGGTGGACGGTGGGTAGAGAGGCCGGTGAATGGGTAAGAGGGAAAACGGCTAAGGTTAGGTGGAACAGAAATGGTTTTAATTCACAAATTTGAAATTATTCTCAGATTTGAGTAAGATTGGAGGAAAAATAAGTGGATTTTGAAATTCCAATAGCAAGTAATCAAGTCCCTTAATAAAGCATTAAAGGAGAGGGGACCACCAAGGGGGCCGACAGCATGGTGAGGGGGAAGGAGGTTTGGGGAAAAGGAATTATGCGTTTCCTAATCCGCTCCGACTAATTAATGATGAAAATTTCAAATCCGCTCAAATTCAAATTTGAATTTGAGACCTCATTGAAACTTTCCTAATTAGAATTTGAGAACTTCCACTTTGAATTTCAAAATTTGAAAATTCGTGGAGGAAGACGAAAAGGGGCCGGTGATTTATGGAGGGAATGGTGGTGGATGTAGGGGAGGCCAGCGGCTAGAGGGAGGGCCGCGGGATGATGGTGAAGGCTCGGTTTTGGTGGATGTGGTGGTGTTGAGTTGGATGGGTGAGATTGTGAGGTGGTGGTTGGTGGTGGGGATGACTAACCCTAAAGCAAAACTCCTATTTAAAGCAAAACAGAAAACTAACTCAAAAGAATAAACAACCCTCCTTTCTTCCCTAGGCAGTAGACCCCACCCCCAAGGGGGCAGAAATTTGAGCTTTCTGTATGTGATGAGCCGGCTGGACCGGTTCCTCCTGGACCCATATAGGCATATCATAAAGCGGATGCATCTTGGTTAGAATTAGTGCGCCACATGATACTTTGATAATGATCTTTTTGGTGCTGTGATGAACTCTATTGTACTTGGAATGCAACCACCATGGTCCCCCTCAATGCTTGAAAAAAAAAAAGAACATATTAATCAGAGAAGTGACAACCTAAAGAGTTAGGTACATTGTCTACAAAAGGCATCAAGATTTGTATTGATTGACATCAATTAAGCCTAATTTTGAGGTCATGCAAAGGACGAATAATTCATCAAGCTTTAAGAAAAGGTACATGATTTTTTTTTTCCTTACACGTTAGATGATGAGTAAAATGTATTCTCCATATAATTATGCATTAAGTGTTCAAAGCAGTGGTAGAAGTTATATTGAGAGAGCTGATGCCAAATAAGTGATATAAGTCTAATGATGATGATGATGTTTCTGATTAAAATCTGTTAAATCAAATACATTTTTGTTCTCAGGGATGTGGAGAATCTTATTGTAAAGATGCTCCATTCTGCTTAAACAACACATCATGAATTCCATTGAAATATCAGTAAATGCGTCTGGAATAGTTTGAATAAAACAACACAGCTATGTTGTTTGCTACTTGCTAGTCATGTGAGCATATGAAGGCTTCGTTTGGGACGATTTTTTTACTTCTTCGTAAAGCTACTTTTTAGTACAAACAGTTTAATTTTTGTACTGAAAAGTTGTTTTAAAAAGCGGTAAGAAAGTTATCTCAAACAAAGCTGAAGTTAAACAGGGGATGTAGATGTGTGTACTTCTTTTTCTTTTAATTTGCTCCAGTTTCTCATGCTTCAAACCTATATAGCCTGCTGAAACTTTTGTTGACAGATGATCTATTACTAAAAAGTTTCTTTATTTTTAAGCTATTGCTCACTTGATTCTTTCAGCTAATTTCTTGTTCTGCATTTCTTTTCTTCAATGAAAGTTTAAAATAAATTTTTAGCATTTAGGATATGGTTGGGATGATAGCTTTTAAGATAACAACTACAATTTCATTTTGTTACTATTTTTTTTCTAAATATCTGTGATAGAAAGCTATTTTTTTGCATTCAAAATAACTAAGTTATTTTCGTCGTAATTTACAACAAATGATTATTGACTCTCCAACTGTACAAAACAGACCTTTTATTGAGGTCATTGCCTACTTTAACTTTCTCAGGTACTTAATCAGAACATAAACATGTATTAGTGTGAAACTATTTGTATAATGAAATGATCATTGCTATATTTGATGTGATTATTTATTTAGTCTCAAGATTTACTCATAATATTGATAAATTGCCCTCATCATAGCTTCATTTGTGAATAATTTTTTTTTTTCCATTGGAAGGTTAATAGAAGGCTCTCAAAGCTGACAAATCACTTAATAGAAATATTTATATATTCATTATGATAGCAATACTTCTAAGTGTATCACAGCAGGCAGAAAACAGTGCAGTGAAAGACTTTTGCCAACACAGAAATTCATGACCATAGAAATCAGCTTTTCACACTGCTATCTTCTCCTACTTGAGCTGTGTGATAGGAACACACATGAATATATATATTGGAAGTCTAGCTAATTGGCTTGTGGATGGAGCCCACCATGACCTAACCCATCTTTTAATTAATGGAAATGGAACCCTATCATGGATAATTAGGTTTTGGTCCTATTGACTTGAAAATCATATAAAAAGATCAATTGATTCCATGAAAATAGAAAAAAACAAAATTACATAATGATCTATTTTTTCACTTATTTCGTGTGTAAGAACTAAGGTTTTGTTTGATACAGCTCTTACTGCTTCTTAAATCAACTTTATAGTATAAAAATTAAAAATTGTCCTAGAAAATTAATTTAAGAAGCAGTAAGAAAGTCGTCCCAAACAAAGCCTAAATCATTTGATTACATTGGATTGTTATGTAAAATTTACATTTATTTAGATTTTATTTGGGATGACTTTTTTACTACTTCTTAAAAGAATTTTTTAATACATGAGTTGCTTTAGAAAGCAATAAGAAAGATGTCCTAAATAAAATCTTGGTGATTAAATGATTGTTCTAACAAATTTAGAGCAACAAGATGAACCCTAAGAAATTTTTTAATATTTTTCTGAGATGAAAATGTAAATATTATGCATATTATTTTGCACAAACATGATTTGTTTTTGGAATTTCATGTGCTAAAAGTTGTTGGCTGTTGATTTTATATTGATAAAGCTGAAATAGAATCAGGCAGGTCCACATCTATCAAATCTATATACAAACCAGCCTGGCTAGCTTTTGTCTTTTTTTTTTTTGATAAATTATGGTTGGAAACTATACTTTTAGTGGGATGTTTGTTTGCTTTGGTAAAATTTTATGCAAAAAAAAATTTAAAATGCAAATCTTATACTCACAAGGGTTGGATGCCCATTATTTCATATATATATATATATATATATATATGAAAGTTAGTTTTTAAATATTTTTTTTGAAATAAAATTTAATTTGAAACATAAAGAAATTTATTTTTGGTTATGCAAAATAGTTTTTTAGTAGGATATTATAATAAAATCAAATTTTATTATGATATCAATATATTTATAAATCACATCACTACATTTCTGTTATTTGTCTTGTTTTACATTTTTTTAAATATTTAATCATAAACCTTAAAATAAAGAGGGTTTATTATATAATATGGCAAAAACTAATGCATTAAACTCATATTTTTCAAATGTAATCACTATTTAATAATATTAATTTAATGTAAAGAAATATCCACTTGCTTAACATCTTATTGTAAAAAAACTCAATTAAGGCTTCGTTTGGCATGACTTTTTTTAATGCTATCTAAAGCCATTTTCTAATATAAAAGTTTGTTGAACAAAAAATTTTTGTATTAGAAAGTTGTTTTAGAAAGCATAAAAAGTCTTAATTATAATTTGGGGTCTATTTTTAACTGTGGCCATAAAGTTATTATGGCGAATATAGTTGTAAAAAATAACTTCGTAGTATAAAAATTTATTGAAAGCAATGAAAAAGCTATGATCAAATAATAATTATAGCTATAGTTTGAAAAGCAAAGCAATAAAAAGTTATTCCAAATAAAACTTTAATATGTTTAAAATAAAAAAAAATGGCTTAATCAAGATGATTAAACATGAGTTTCTTAATAAAACCTGTTTATGATTGGGCTCTTGACAAAGAAACATAAACTACTATAGAGAGAGATATCTCCAAGTAAAACAGACAAATCAGCCAGCTGTATTTAGGCATTTTGTTCAGAAAATCACAAAGTTCCTTTGTCCTCCATGCATTAAGAAAAAAAGGACTGAATAATTAATTTTCTTCTCTTATCCTAAAGAAACTACAAAGGAATCATAGTAATGGGTTTGAATACAACAAAAAAAGTTTCACTGTCATGCATGTGAACCCTTCAAACTAATTAGTTCTTGTAGACAAAGATTTAAGTTTTTTATTTTTAACAAGGCTATAATCTTTGTAGAAGAAGAGAGGAAGGCTTTATTCAGGACGGTTTTTTTACTGTTATCTAAAATAGTTTTCTAATAAAAAAATTTCTAGAACTTAAAATTTTTATACTGAAAAGCTGCTTTAGAAAGCATTAAGAAAGCCGGCCCCAGAGGAAGCTGAAGTGGAGAATAAGAGTGCATGTGAAGGAAAATAAAAGTTGGCATCACCTACTTGTATTAGGTCTTCACTTTTTTTATCTCCCAACACATCACCATCAATCTATGAAAAGCTTAGAAAGAGAGCTTTTCCAACTGTTAAAATTGCTTTCATTGCAAGTTTCAACCTCAAATCTACTTTTTCACGCTCACATGTTTTAGGATCTCTTTCATTCATTATATGCTAACTATTGGGTATCTTATAAAGAGATGATATGTGTAATTATCATCGTAGGACGATCGACGTGAGGTTTAAGGAGATGAGTCTTAGAGAGGTATAAAATAGTTGCGAGTTTTGTCATTAAAGATATTGCGAGGGTTTTCCATATATTTATAAAAAAGTTTAGCATTTTTTTGCAAGCCTGCTAAAATTCCCAACTATATCTTTTGCGCCAGCTTATTTTAAATATGTCATGATTTTTGTTTAATTTTTAATTTATTAAAAACTACACTCTTTAACACAATAGTTTTTTATTCTTTGATTAATTGTAAAAAATAATTAAGCAATAGAAATCAAATAAATAATCTTAACATTATATATGAAACCACTAAAACAAAAGCTTTTGCGAAAAAACAAAAACACTTTTAAAATTAGAAGAAAAATAAAAAAGATAAATTGTTTTTCTCTCCTTTATCTCTTCCTTTCTTTTCATTTACAACAACAATAACAGCAACATTAAGCCTTTATCCCACTACGTGGGGTCGGCTACATGAATCTTTTTTCTCCATTGTGTCATGTTAAAAGTCAAATTTTTGTTTAAATCTGATAACATTGCTGTTGTCAGGTCCCAAATCCTGGATGAGAAAAGTAAAGGATTACATTAGATAGTTAACAACTAGCATAAAATTTGTTGAATAATCATGCCATGAATCCTTCTTTTCATTTACACCAAAAAATATCATATAAAATATCAGAAAGCATATTATATTTTCACCAACAACCACTCTAAAACTAAGGCCAGAAGAAAAAGAATAAAATTCATAGATTAAACCAGCAATAGTAACAACAGATCAGGCCTTGTTTCTCTAAACTAATAAGAAACTCTGCCCACCCCCAAACACCTCTCTCTCCCAACTTATAAGAGAGAAACCATTAAGAAAACAAAGAGAACTGTTTACAGTAATAATACAAAGAAAAACAAGTTATATTCACCAATCTATGGACAATTAGGGTTCTTTCCAGGGCCTCCATAGTAGAAATAATTGCCCCAATCTCCATTCTGATCATTCTGAACATCATAGCAGCTTGATTCTTCAGTATAAGTTCCAATTCCTTTAGGAGATCTGAGATTGTTGGAGCTATCAACTATTTGAATATTTCTGAAATAGCTTGCTTTGCCAAATCCTTCTCCTGGAAAGTGACCACTGCCCATTTGAGTTGAAGTGTGATCTCCATCTGCTACTGTGTTCACTATTTCTCCTCCCCATTCAATCATTGAAGCACTATCAGCTAAGTAGGAGAAGAGGAAGGAAGGCCAATAACCTAACACATGGTTCTCCCCAAATTGCATCCACCAATTTCCCTCTTTTGGATCCTGAAAATAATTTTTCAAAATTCATTCAGATGTCTTTGACTCATAAGTTCGGCGAAATTGGAGTCCTTGGCACAAAATTGGATTCAATATACACATAAATTGTTATGATTGTCGTAAAAAAGCTTATCACGAGCTTACTCAGATTGTTTGTGACAACTTTCTAACTGCTTTTTTGGTATGTTAAAAAAAAAAAGTACTAGAAAGCAGAAAGTCATCTCAAAGTCATCCCAAATGAAGCCTCAATCTGAGCTAAGCCCAACTTGAAATCATGTGGAGGTAGGACAAAGCAACAATTCAATATATTTTTTTGTAAATTTAGATTCAAATGGTATTTGATTACCTTCCAAACAAGAATACTGATATCATATTGGGAACCACCATAGTTAGAGATGGGAGAGATGCTGGCACCCATGGCAATTTCATTGTTTATCTGAATGAATCCAGAACACAGCAGATTGTAGCAGCCTGTAGCTTGATAAGCATCACTCTGTTTTATTTTTAAAATATCAATAAGAATCCAAGATCCAGTCTTTTCAATAGAGGAATAGAAACTGCAAAAAAAATATATATAAAAATGGTAGCAAAAAAAAATACAAGCTTACAGTCCAGTAAGTGAATAGCCTTGTGTGACCATCCCCATAAAGATCAGGACTGACCTAATAATACAAATGAAATTAAAAAAATATTAAATTTATATAATAAAAAAAAGAAAAATAAAATTTTATTGCAACCTGCCAGCCTGCTTCAATGCTATTGAGATCATCTCCAAAGGAGCCACCCAAAATCCATAGTTGAGAAAGGCTGAACTCATTAGACTGCTGGATCCGTGGATTCCAGACATTCATGGTTGCCTTTGCTCCATAGTACTCATCTCCCTCTACATAACTAATGGCATGCTACTCAAACAAGAACCATAAAGAGAAAAAAAAAATGAGAAAAGGAATAAAAAATCCATTTTTACTGATAAAGTAGTTACAAAAAATTGAATTTTCTAGCAGTAGCCAGTAAAAATCTTTGTTTTTTTGCTTTTTGTGTACTTTCTTCTTCAAAAATATGATTTTTACCTCATGACCATTTTCATTGATGAGGTCAGGATCAGAGGATAAGGGAAAGGGAATGGTCCTGTGCTTCTTCTTGCCATAGCTCTTGAGAGAACTGGCTCTAAGAACATCTTCTTCCTTAGTTCTTCTAATGGGGATTGTGTTCTCTGGGCATCTGCCATTCTTTTGCCATAGCTGAGAAATTTGTTTGCTTGATTGCTTCTTGTGACTCGAACTACTGAGCTTTGATGCCAATTTGCTCTCATCATATTGAGCTTCTGGATAAAAAGATGGCCTTGCCTGCATCGAAAATGGAAATTGAATCTTGGCTGCAATAACTTTATAAAAAGTGTAAGAACAGAGTGATTGATGGGGAAAAGATTGGCCAACTAAAGATCTCCCAAGCTAAATTTAGCTCAGGATATCTTCATTCAAAGTATTTTCTAGAGAGAGAGAGACCTGAATTGTGTGGTTTCTGAAGAGAGGATGATCAAAGGATGGTTGGTGAGAGACATTAACACAGTCTATGATATCTCCATCTGGGCTCTGTGGATTCATAAATGTCTTTCGTGTTAGAGCAATTCAATCATATAAGAAAATTCCATGAAAATAATATAACAGATATGAAAATCTTGAAGTAATGGCCTCATTTAAGCTTCGAAATCAGCTATGAATAAGCAGACCGTACCATTCAAAGGATATTAAAGAACATTAAATAAGAAAATGCTTTTGAAAAAAAAGTAGAAAAAAAGGACGAAGCTTTCCGAAAGAAAGAAGATACAGTTTGAAGAGGAGAAGAGGAGAAAGGCGGGACCTTGATAGACTTCACCGCCGGCTTATTAAGTTTGTTAAGATGCCTTTTTGTTTCCAGCTTCCGTCTCCTCACGTCGGTGGCGGTGGCCGTGGCGACACCGCCGCCGCCGGAGGCGCATGATAGGAAGCACAGAGTTAGAAGAAGCAGCCCTGACCAGTTCCTCGTGCTAGCTTGCGCCGCCATTAAGAGTTTTCTCTAGTTTTTCTTCTCAACTTCAGTCCATGGAGAAAATTAAAGCTGAAATGAAATTTGAACAGCCATTCTGTCTCTGTCTCTCTCTCTCTCTCCTCCCTGTGCCTTCTTCTTCCCAGTCCCCACTTCTACTGGCGCGCGCTTTCTCTCTCGGCCTCACTAAGTACACGTCCATGGGGGTAAAATGGGAAGAAAGGTAAAATTTTCAATTAGTAGACACATTTATGTAATTGTTATAGTTGTTTGAGCTCTAATAAAGTTTATTAATTGAAACTATACATAACGGTTAAATATATTTATGATTAAATTTATTTTTATTATAGTTTATTATAAATAAAAAAATTGTATTTAAATAAAAAATATTTATTTTTTAAAAATTAGATTATGAGGTCATCAAAATCATAAATAAAGGATTAATTGAAAAGATGATTCAATAGCACATTTCATTTTATTTTTTTAAAATTCAGTTTATTAAATACAATTTTTAATTTATCATTTGAATTAAAAATTTTAGAATTAAATTTAGAATCATATGATATATGATATTAACATATTTATAGTGATAATAAATGTCTCAATGAGATGAACCAGATGCATAACCCTAGAAGCAATAGATATGGTGGTGTTTGAGTTGGGAGAAATTATTCTATGTGGACATTGGACGGAGAGAACCATCTGAATTTATTGCGCTTTTACTATCTTTTTTATGCGTTTTTGCAAAAGGTAGTAAAAGCTCAACAAATATTTAATATTTATTAAATAGTTGAATATTTGCTGTGTTTTTATTGAGTATTTATAAAAACACAGCAAAAGGACAGTAAAAATGCATTCATAATTGAATATTTGCTCCACTTTTATTACCCTTTTACAAAAATGCAGCAAAAGGACAGTAAAAATGTAGCAAATCTGGTCGGTTCTCTTGAGTTGGAGTTTGATAATTATTGTTTTTATTTAGTGTGAGATGATGTAGGGACATCTAATGTAAGCACTTTAAGACTTGAAAGTCTTTTGGAATGTGGAGATCCCAAGATAGCTAACATCTACAAAGGAATAGTGAGATTTGGGTTGGTTTTTAGGTAGGTAGTCTTTTGTGGAGGTTAAGAGATGCTTATATGCTAAGATATAATAAGTGTAAGTATTATTTGCAAAGCTAAGGATATTAGAAATAAAAATCTAGAGTTATTTAGGATGGTTATATGGAGGCTTCTTAGTTGGGAGTGAAATGAAGAAATTTGACTCTATATGTAGCTTAAGGTGAGAAATACTTCATAAATTTGAGCCACTATTTATTATGGGTCTTAAAATATGCTTTAGAGGCTCCATTGAGATTATAAACTTTAAGTTATTCAAAACATCCATAAATAATTCTTTATTTTTAAAAACTTTCTTATAGCTAAAAAAACTTTAGTATATTCAATTATAAGAAGTATGTTCTCACCACATAAAATTCTAAAAAAGTAATAAGAAAATTATAACAAAATAAAATTATGAATAAATACTCCCAAACAGGCCCTTAATGACTAATAATTTCTTAAGGAAGATCGATTACGATATCTTTAATAACCTCCGTGATCATAATTGGCCTATTATCTTAATTCTTTATATTCTTATAATAATAGCTCTTTTCAACTCATGACAATCAATAAAGAATATTATTTCAATAATATAATTTTTTTTCTTCAAAAGTTTTTACACAAAAATATCACTTATTAGCCTTAATTTTTCAATTATGGCACCAATTATCGTGCATAGCTGATAATTAAGATGATAAATGCTCTCTATAGACATAATCTAACTTATAATAGGTTCAAATAATATTTATCCTAAAGTAAATTCAAGTAATAGAATATTATATATATATAGTTTGTTAGTTAGGCAATGTGATAGATAGATAGATTGAGGTAGATCATTGTTGTCAGAGCAACAATGATGAGTAGGTGGCTGTTGTTTTAAATGAGGAGAGGGAGAGGGCTCAACATTTAAGACTTAGGTGTTGAGTAATTATGTATTAGATTATGAGATTAATAACTATTTAATTTTTTCATTAGCTCAACACACTTGTTTTGAATCATCAAACAACAAGAGATTATAGAGATATTAGTTTATTTGGGACTTTTTTTTTACTATTTTCTAAAGCAATTTTTTAATACAAAATTTTCTTGAACTGAATTTTTTTTTTATACAAAAAACAGCTATAATAATCATTAAAAAAGTCCCCAAACGGAGCCATTGTCATCATAAATTATAATATTGATAGAAATAAAGTGAATTTTTTATTCACGATTTAAACGAATATCCGATGCTTATTTTATGATGGTCATTATATATATATATATATTGTGGGCGATTTTGGTCCTAATTAAAAAGCAATAATTTAGAATAATTTTATTAATATTTGCATTCAAATGCTCGTTTAGGAAAAAAGCTCTATGCTTAAACTGTTTGGTCACATGCATGGAGTTGGAGCAAAGAGCCTCACATGGGAATGACCCACAGTAGCTTAAATTACTTGTTTATTTGTTAAACATGTAAGCTTCTCATTCTATGAAAACATAAGATTATCCAACAATATATTTGATAGGGCATTAAAAAACGATTTTATCGGGCACTAATCTTGATGCATATTTGATTGGAAAACTTTCGGAATTAGATAGAGGATAATATGAACTTTGATTTTGATAAATTTATAATCAAACTAAATGCCTTAACGGGAGGAAGGAGTCAATACCAAAAATGATCTGATCCGACTCCAAATGAGTCCGGATTTAACAATTGAATAATAATTAGAAACTTAAGAATATTAATTGGAGAATACAGTCTCCAAATCTCGCTTATAATCAAATGGAGCATATTTATAAGATGAATCCAACAAGTCAATAATCATTAAATTTTTATAGAATTAAAATGTTTAAATGTTAAGAAAATGGTATATGATTGAGGTAATCTATATGAGTTATCTAACAGAATGTTCTTGATTCTGATTATATTTAATGGGCATGTTACTCTCAAAATTATGTAAATAGACTCTTGCTCTCTATATGAATATATGATTAGAGATTGTATTCTCATCTTGAGATTCAAGAGGACTCAAAAGGTTAAAGAATATAGGAGTTTCACCCGAGCACTACTATATGACCTCCATTATCAAAACACTATCAAATCGCTATATTCAAATTACCACTCGATCACTGTTATCAAACAATCATCATCCGACCACCGTCGTCTAATAACCATCAGAGTTAGAATATTGCCGTCAGACTGTTGTCTGATCGTTGCCATCAGTCCACCACCTGATTACTCTCATTGGACCACATCAACCTATAAGGCTAATGCACCAACATATGCGCTAGACTTCTTTGTCGATGATATCCCTTCCACAAAGAAGAATAATAAAACACATAATAAATGATCTCTTGAAGACAAAAATCACATGCTATAGGTCTCTTCCAATTTCACAGGATCCGTTCTGTGCATTTTATATCTTACTTATTATATCAATATTTTTTTAATAATGAAAAAATATATTATTTATAATTAATAACAAACACTAATAGAATCATTTCAACTAGGCCAAAAAATCCTCCAAATTTTCTCTTTTTTGAGATTTCCACATTAATATTCTTTTCATATTTGCTTTAGATCTCTAAATAAAATTAAGATGTTATTCTCTATCTCTATCGTGAATATTTTGAAACACAACAATGCTTTTCATGAAAATGAAACTTAATTAATATTATAAGCCTTTTAAGGGATTCATCATATAGAACCCTCACGATGCCCAATAATAGCTAAATAAAATTATGATTATTTTCTAACCAAGTCTTTTTAGAACTATCTCTACCTCTTTTAATATAGGTCACATCTGATACATCTACTCTTGCAACATGGAAATCAAAAGACCGCCGTTTTATGTGACCAAACCATCTAAGACGAATCTCTAATGTTACCTACCAATGGAGCTACTCCAACCTTATATGCTCGTTTTGCATTCTATCTCTAAAAGAGAACCCACTTATTCACCTGAGCATCCTAATCTCTGCAACACTTATTGTATGCCTATTTCTTTCCCGTACATCCCCACAGTTCACAAGAATACGAGAAAAAAAAAAAAGATTTGTTGTTTTTGGTGAATCAAATTGAAGAGCCACATGACTTCCCATTTAAATGAAGAAAACATTTCTACAGCTCCATAATCAATATTCATATATACAATAGTTGATTAAGAATAAAAGAACAAAAACAAATTAAGGAGGTAATTAACTTTTATAATATAGATAATGGAATAAACTTTAAAATAGTTCCATGATTATCCGCATATGGCCAAGTTAGTACAGAGTATCACGTTGCTCCAATTTAATCTCTCAACTACATAAAATTGATCCAAAATTATCCTTTTGAAATGAAATTATAATCAATTATGTATGGTCAAGGGGGACTAAATTGGCACAATATGATACTCTGGGATTAAATTGATCACATAAGAATAGCCTAGGGACTAGTTTAAAATTTTATATATATATATAAGAAAAAAAAATTTGAAGCAGACAATAAAGAGAGATGCATTATTGCAGCGATAAGTAAACAGTGAAGAAGAGGACGGGGAATCTCACGCCTTTCTGGAGATAACGTCAATTGAAAAGGAAATGAGTGTCTGAGCTGGTTGGTTCTTTTCAGGAATTGTAGTTTCTGCAATGCTGCATAGACTCAATCATTATGCTATCCATGAAAATTTCCGTTATGAAGAAGCCATGCAACTCACCGTTGCTTAGCTTGATTAGGTTGGTTAGGGAGCGAGTAAGGTTGGGAACCCTCAAATCCGTGCTCAATTCTCTTTGAGCGGCGGAGTCTCTTAAGCGAGGCTCAATCAAGTGCGGGCCAGGAGGTTTCTGGGGTATGATTGGTGCCTCTTCTTGGTAAGCCGAGGATTAGTCACGCCGCCAAGCGGCCTTTTGAGGGTGACAACGGCTGGATATCCCGTTCCCACACACAAAACAAGGCCATGCAGTTTTTTATTTTTTAAAATCTGAATCATAAATTCAAATTTCTAACATTAGAATCAATGATTCATGGATTCTTTTACAGGCCATGCCGTTTTTTTCTTTTTTAGATAAATCAAAAGCCTTGGCTCTATATATATAGAA